GAAGGTTCAGAGAGCGTTCACTCAGCACAAGATTTCTCTGCTATCCTGCCTCAGAAGCTGGTATAAATAAAATCCGAACAAAAAAGCAAACAAACAAACAAAGAACCCTGTCATCAGCCAAATTATTGTTCTGAGCAACAATTTCACAATCTGTGCGTCCCTAAAGTGGACCATGAGTGGGGATTGATTTGTGCGCCGCTGTTTACAAGCGTGAATTGTTGAGCTCACTTTGAATATCTACGGAGCTGTGATGACTAAGCAGCCTGCATCTGCTGCTCACGGAGGTTCTTGTTATGGTTTAAAGTCCACAGCAGTCCAAGACTGTTTATCAAAACTAACCATGTTTTAATGTTTAAAAAAGTAAAATGCCTTATCGTTTTAGAATAGGTATAAAATACCAGTACACTGTTTCAGCTAAAAAAAACAAAACACTTCTGAAACGAAAATGAGGGGGAAAAAAAGAAAAGGGGAAAAAAGACAACCTGGTCCACATCCGATTTACGCACTCTGTAATTTATTTTCTATCTATTTTTAAAAGCTTAACCTTAAAACAGCAGGCTTGTGACTGCACAGTGTGCATATACTGTTTTAGCTGAACAGCTGATAAAAATCTAAACTGTAGAAGTGTTTTTTGTTTGTTTTTCTTTCCCATCAGGGAATTTCTCAGTGGTTCACCACCACCATGGTACAGTCAGACCAGAACATTTGTTTTCAGATTTCAGGCAGCTGGTTTTAACTCGTATTTTTCCCAGCTAATTAAAGAGATACATTCCTAAATAATAATAAAAAATTAAAAAAAAACCCTGACGGACACATAGATGTAGATGCCACTTGCAGATATTAGCACAGCAGCAAAGCATGTTAGTTTGCTTTGAGAAGCTGGTTTGAGTGGTTTGTGGGATTAGAAAAACACTATAAATGCCAGTCTAAAGGTAAATACTAAGATAAATGGTCAGATGTAGCACCAGTGATCACACATGCCTGTACTGACGCACTCACGGGCACAAGCACAACAGTGATCTTCTAGATTTGGCACGTTTCAGGTGCAGCATAGAAACCACACACACACGTACACACATACAGATCAATGCAATTGTAATGCGTGCGCGACCCCTTTGACCTTTGGCCGGATAGTTCTAGCAAAGCTGCATCTCATGCTGACTTTTGTCCAGTAGCAGCAATGCCTGACCGATGTTTAACTTCCACTAGAGGACCAGTCTCAACACATTCCCATCGTTCAGCGGCTGAGTTGCGATGTCGTCTGAATAAATTCTCAGCCTGAAATGCTGAATATCACCAGTTAAATAGCAACAGCAGCTGGCATTTTGAGTCAGCCTGTTTCTTTAGCAGTCCTTTTATAGCTGCTGAACCTTCAACAGCAAACTGCCTGCCTACTGCTGAATCTGGTGGACCCTTTCATTAACACAACAGGCTCTTCCAGTACTTGGATACAAATATATTGCATATTTATTCTTTTTAGGTTAATGTAATTGCAGTTGAAAATGTTTTTTCTTCCCTGATAAAATACCTCTAAAGTTGTCCTTTTTCTTATTGTCTAGTCACAGCATGTTCATTTAATTTATATAGCATATTTAAAACAACTGCAACTGACCTAAAGTGCTTTCTGGGCAAATGCATTTACATTCAAGAGCTCCAAAAACCCAGTTTCAAAAACACTAAACTCACATAGCAAGACACATAAAAGCAAGTGAAGAGGAGGTAGATCTTTAGAGCTAGTTTAAAAGTGTCCATCGTTGGGGGGTTGCAAGCTTTTGGGAGGATGACACTGGTAGTGAGGCAAAATACAGAGTTAAAAAAAATCTGTAATATACTGTTGAGCTAAACAAACTTAAAAAAAAAAGGTAGGTTAAAGACCCTACAATAACACAGAGGAACACCTCAACAATCAGGTGATCCCTGGATGAACAAGCACCTGGCAACAGTGTGAAGGAAAAACTCCATTTTAGCAGGAAACCTCTGGCAGAACCAGGCTCAGGGAGCGAGGGGAGGAAGACAGGACAGAGGACGCTGTTGAAGAGAGCCAGAAATTAATAATAACTAATGATTAAATGCAATTGCACCAGATTTTTAAACAACTGTTTGGACATATGTGGATAAAGGACCAAGTGCCTTAGTTGGGATGTTAATAGAGCTTTGCCAGATGTGGTATCGTTTAGTCTAAGGAAATGTTTCGCCGTTCAGGATTTCAATCATCCAGACTATCAAAGAAGCTCTTTGTGTTTCATCCACATAAGAGCGGTAGTGAATATATTAAGATGTATAATAAAAGCAGAAGAGGACCTAAAATGTAATGTTGCATTTGCTGGAACCTGGTAATCCATCATATATATATACACACTGTGGTGGATACTCCTAATAAACAACCAAAGGATCCAATATTGAGATCAGTGTGTGTCCATGTGATCCCCGCGAGCCAAAAGATCTGTAAATGCTAAGTTTGAATTTATTTCTACTCTTTGATTTGCAAGCTGTCCTTAACATGGTGATCTCAGGGACACAGCAACTCCACCCGTCTGCTGTTCAAAGCCTTTTGGTTTTGAGGGGCAGCCAGAAGAAAGTTGGCTTGAGGGGAGCGAAGGAACTGCACCAAAGCTGAGTATAACAATTATTTAGAACTGAATCATGCAAAGCTACTGTAGTAAAGTCCAAAACTGAAAATGGGGAGGTAGAAAAGAACATAATAGGCCTCATTCAAGGCAAACTCAAGTGGTTATATTGTTATGGTTGTTTAATTACCAATTAGATACTTACCAGGACTTTAAGTACATCCTTCCAACTGTATATTAACACCAATATCTAATTGGTTAATCACATAGACAAGTTCAAACAGAATCAGAATGAGGTCATTTAAGTAATGCTGAACATGTCATTGTTGTTGGTGCCAGACGTGTTGGGCTGAGTATTTCAGAAACTGGCGATCTGCTGGGATTTTCCCCAAAAACCATCCTTTTCAGACCAATCTCTACAGAGATTGGTCTGAAAAGGAGAAAATACCCAGTGAGCAGTAGTCCTCTGGGAGAAAATGCCTTGTTAATGGCAGAGGTCAGAAGAGAACTCAAACTCAAATAATCACTTTATGTTACGTTATAACCAAAATCTGCAGAAGAGCACCTATCTGGTCTACAGCAGCAGAAGACCACACCAGGTGCCATCAGAGAATGGGAAAACTTAGGCTACAGTTCACACAGGCTCATCTAAATTTGACCACAGAAATTTGGAAGATGTTGCCCGGTTTGATGAGCCTCAATTTCTGCTGCAACATTTGGATGGTAGGGTCAGAATTTGGCATAAACAGAATATAAACAAAGCACAGTTCTATCTTACCTTTGTAGCCTATCGGCAGTACGTGCTGCTGGTAGTGTGCAGTGGTGTGCGGGATATCTTCTTGCCAAACTTGGCTCCCTCTTGTGCCAACTGAGCACTAGTTAAAACACCAAGTATTGCTACTGACCATATCATCCTCATTTATAACTACATAGTACCTGTCATCTGATGGCTCTTCCAGCTCTGAGGGATAACAAGCCTCCAACTGTGTAAGGCTGTCATGTAGAAATGAACCAAAATCTGTGAGGAATGTTTCCAGGCTCTTGCTGAGTCTATGCCACAAAGAATTTATGTTTTACATAAGTACTACTTGGTACTAGCAAGGTGTACCCAATAAAGTATCTGACAAGTGTACAAATAACTTTTCACACAGGGCTGTGTTTATCTTAATCTGTAGAGGTTTACCAAAAAGACAGTAGTGTAGTAGTAGTAGAACAAAAGTCCCACTCCTTACATTTAAAATTTCTCTCCAGCTTCTAATTACAAAACTAACAATCCAATGCTTTAATTGGTGGAGAAATGGCATCTAGTTTAATCTGATTTCATACCGTGTGAAGTCACTGGGCCATCAAAATCGGAAACTGGCTGCCAGCTCTGATACCCTTTGCCTTTGTCTTACCCTCAACGGCTCACTCGCGTAGAATATAATTTCAATATACGCACATCATACATTAGTATGAATAATTAACAATAAGGAGGGAGGGGAAAGGGACTGTTGTTTCTCCATAAGTGTTTTTTCTTGCCATTTCCTCCAAGTTATCATCACATTGTTGTGGTACCGTGATGACTATTATTGCTCTGCTGAAAATTGTGATAGTAAAACTCTGCAGATGATGATCGTTCTGTTGCTCTGTTATGGATGTGGCGTACACTGAGTCCTCAGAGGGGAGAGAAACAACTCGACAAGCTGAAATGAAGCAATATCAATCCCTGCCCGAGACCTCTCGGCATTAAAGCATGCACACTGACAGTCTCTTACATTACGCCGGAGCAATAATGTAGCTCACTTGTAGCATTTGCTGTCTGATTTAATAAACTATGTCATTTATTGGTTGTTGTCGACTTTGTACGAGCCTCACTGCGTCAGACTTCCACAGATTTTAATGCAGTTATTTTGTGTCTTTAAAATGTATTTAGTAAAAATTTTATATGTATTTTTTTAAATTCTTAAATGTTCCAGGGTAATCAAATTACCTCTGACTGTTGACATTCTCTATTAGAGCAGAACATAAGTGAAATATAAAACATGTCAATCAAACATGAACAAAAATGTGAATATTTCTTCTTTTTTTGTACAAAAACAGCACCGCTTCCTCGGTTGACTACAAATTACTTGAGAGTCTGAGAGTGCAGCACGTGGAAACAAACATTTTCCATCTGTACACGATTGTCTGGGTAGTGTTTTATTTTCTTTTTTTATAAGGGCAGCCTGGAGTAGATCAGCAGCCATAAACTCTTTAAAAGAGATTATCGTCTCTCCACAATTCAGTAATGCAGTTTTGTTGTCATTTCTGGTCTTATTATTAAGAATAAAGGTGTTACAGAGCAGTGGGCTCTGTCCTGAGGTTGCTTTGCTGTTTCTGTAAAGTGAAAAATGACTGCACTTAGTTACAGAACGAACTATAAACTACAAGCTTGTGAGGGGCAGGAACCTTTTTTTCTTATCTATATTAATACAATACTTAAGCACCCATGTGTGCATTTAAAGGTGCTGCTAAATGCCCCCTCTCAACATGATTCCAGTGTGAATGATCGGAGACAAAATTCACAGACCTCATCTGGCAAAGTGCAGCTGAACCAAATATGATGCTGAATAAGTCAAAATGGGTATTTTCTAAAGTCAGTGTTTTAGAACTGAATTTTCTCTGTTTCATTTCCCAGTGAGCTGCAGTGCACAGACAGATACACCAAGAGTCAATTTTATGATGGAAAAGACAAAAAACACAAACCAACTTTGGTCCCCATTTCAATAGTCGAACTCAGATTTCCGAGCCCCCAAAATTAACTTTGGCTGAAAGGCTTTTTTCTGTCCTTATTTTACAGACAACAAATTGTATATATGTATTGTTATACAGTAAGTGTTTCTCCTGTTCGTATCGGCTGTGAAACAGTGCCTTTGTCCTGTGACAAAAAGAAGCAATTGTTCTGTGTAGGAATGTATTCTTAAGTTCAGCCAAAGCCAAAGTGAGGCTTCAGCATTCTGAATTTGCCAGTTGATTTTTTCCCCCATGATATTGCTGCATAGCAGATTACATAAAGAAAAGAAAGGAAAAACAAAATTAACAGGTGGCATGGAGTACTTTTTTTTTTTTAGATTTGGCTTTTAAATCTGCTGGATTTGGTATTTCCTGTTGTGTCTGGGCAAAAGGAATTTTGTGTGAAAGACTTTGGGTGCATTTTGTCCACTTACGTCACTACTGGTCATTATAATGTTTTAAACTCACTGGCCACATTGTTAGGTACAACTGTTCAGCTGCTCAGCAACATAAATATCTAATGAACCAATTACATGGCAGCAACCCAGCGCATTTAGATGTGATCAAGATGATCTGCTGAAAATCAAATGGAGGATCAGAACAACGAAGAGAGGTGATTTTAAGTGACACTGAATGCATCAAGGTTGTTGGTGTCAGACAGGCTAGGCTGAGTATTTCAGATAATGTTGATCTACTGGGTTTTCCCCACACAACCATCTCTAGGAATTACACAGCGGTCAGGAAATGTTATGAGCTGAAAGGAAGGCAAATACAAACTCGTTACAATCAAGATATGCAGAAGAGCGTCTCTTGAACCTTAAAGCAGATGGGCTATATCTGCAGAAGACCACATTCTGCCCCACTCCTGTCAGCTAACAGGAAACTGAGGTCTCTGGGTAACAAAGGCAACCATAACTTTATTGGCCACTTGTTATAACTAAGGTATGCAGAAGAGCATCTCTTTGGGCTTCAACAGCAGAAGACCATTCCTGTCAGCTAAAAACAGGAAACAGAGGCTGCAGTTCCCACAGCCTCACCAAAATTGGATAGAAGTAGGGTCAGGATTTGTCATAAACAACGATGAAAGCATAAATTTATCCTGTATTGTTTCAGTGATTCAGTGAAACAATAGTGCCAGGGTTATTTTGGTACAGCAACTGTATGCCATCATGTCAATATTGACCAAAATCTTTGAGGAATGTTTCTAGCATCTTGTTGAATCTGTGTTGCAAAAAATTAATGCAGTTCTGATGGCAAAATGGGGTCAAACCCAGTACTACCCAGTGCTGAGAAGAGTTATCCTTCCATCCTCTTGAAATAATTTGGGGACAGAGGAGCGTGACGAAAGAAAAGCACAAAATGTTAACATTTTATTTACAAAGTTGTTTTTTTGTCATACAGAAAGTAAAAATGTAGCTACAACCTTGATTTGTGCAACAGGCAGCCACACTAAAAATCATGGCTCGCTGGTTGCACAGCTGCTATAGCAATAATTTTATTGGGAAAAATAAGGAACGGAGAAAAAAAAAATTAAAAGACAAAAGAGAAATAATAAACCCAACAACAAAAATTATTCATCCAACAAAATATTAAAAGCACAGACCCAAAACTAGATACCAGTCCCAAAGTCCTCACACGGGAATACATAAAGAGGGATCGACAGTGAAATTGTGGAATGCTGAGTGGTGGGCTGCCTGAGAACCTCGGGGGCCGTGAGTGGG